CGATTGTATTACTCAAATATAAATGTTATAGGTACATAATAGTATACATAGAGGTATACATAATCGTCAGAATTCTGGATCGACAAATGGCTGCAATCAAACACCATCCTGCTCAACGTCGTTACTGGCGTGGTCCCAACAGACTTAATCAACAAAAATGTTCGATTCTTTGCCTCGAATGGGGGCTCATGGCACTGAAATTTATTCCCTCACTTGGTGCCGACCTCCGTGTTGCTACAAGTTGCAAGGACCTTGCCGCCGCGAGAGGAGCTCGGAGGTGACCGCTTATACTGGGGCCTTTCACCCACCGGTAAATTCACCACAAAATACACGTAAGAACTACTAGACGATGACAGTTTTTTGGTTTCGGGTCCGAGACCTTTATGGCGGGCTGTTTGGCAGTGGTCGGGCCCTCAACGGATAAGAAATTTCCTCTGGCTACTGGCAAAAAACCGTTTGCTCACCAGCGTGGAAAGAAAGAGGAGGCACTTGACTTCCGCGGCCCTATGCAAAATGTGCAGTCACGCCGAGGAGACTATAGTACATGTGTGTCGTGAGTGTCCGATGGCCGCCGAGATTTTGAGGCGTCTGCTGCCAGGTACCTCCAATAATGAGTTATTCTCTTCAAATTTGGAGCAGTGGTTATTTTCTAATCTGGTGCACCCGTCGCGAATAGGGGGTAATACCTGGGCCTGCACTTTTGGGGTGGTAGTGTGGAAATTATGGAGATGGCGGAATGAGAATCTTTTTCAGGGGAAAAAACGAGACGTAGCCGATGGGTTACACAAGATACTGCGTATATCGAGGGAATGGTGAGGGTGTTTGAAGGAGACCGTAAGCTTGGGGGACGGGCCGCATGAGAACATCGCGATGGATCTGTTGGGAGAAACCTCCGTTGGGATGGGTAAAAGTAAACTCGGATGGCTCTTTTAATCCGTCGTCGAGATTGGGGCGTGCTGGCGGCCTGGTCTGGGATGAACAAGGACATTGGCTTGGGGGTTTCACAATGAATATAGGAGTTTGCTCGATCATGGCTACGGAGTTATGGGGTTTATTTAGGGGTCTCTCTTTGGCATGGGAGTTGGGGTATAGGCACGTAGAAGAAGAAGTCGACAATGAGAGTATCGTGAGTTTCGCTACATCTCTCGATGATGTATCGGGTGTGAGTATCGTGAGTTTCGCTACATCTCTCGATGATGTATCGGGTGTGCATACAGGCCTAGTGTCGTGTATCAAGGAACTCTTAAGTTGACCGTAGGCGGTAAAGGTGAAACATGTGTTCCGTGAAGCGAATTATACGGTCGATTACCTGGCCTCCTTCGCAGCAGAAGTGTAACGCCCCGTTTTATTTTAAAGAATTTATCGAATTTATTTAATGAAAATCAGAGTATATTTTTTTTTTTTTGAAAATCCAAGTTATAACATTTATCGAGAAACGGGCGCTACTTATTAACCACCACAAATAAACACACTCAATCAAACAATCCAATGAACCTACACATGCTCGAGCTATGAAAATGACAATCTCATAAATCATACATTTCAAACTCATTCCCGAATGACTAGCATGAAATCCAGGTTCAAAAGAAATTCAAACATAGTTCGAAGGCAAATAAATAAATAAACCAAAGTATTTGAAAGCAACAAAATAAGTAACAAGTTCATGCACAACACATAATCAGTATACGAAATCAAGCAGGGATATAAACACATAATTAAATATCTAAATTCAAGCGGGAAAATCATTCAAGTCAAGTTCCAGTTCAACAAATCATAAACAGGCGGAAGCATAATACATCATCAAACAGTGACCACCATCTCGCTCGTCCTACGCCACCGCCTTCAGCTCGTCTCAACCTAAAACAAAGGAAGAGAGAAAACAACAAAGAAAATAATGGGGGTGAGCAACCAACTAGCTCACCATTATCGCACGGTTATCTCGTATAATTATTTTAAAAAGCAGTATCAGTAAAAACAGTTTCAATATCGGTATGCACAGAATTCAAAGCCTAAACCCCCTACCCAGCCCTATCGCAAACCTCCTATGTACATACAACAACCTTCCGGATACGACGGCATGGCTGTAACTGGAAACCTTCCCACCCCCGGATACGACGATCCATGGGATCCTTTCCAGGAGACAGTGAAGTTGAATTACCCCTCCGCTCTACACGGATTCGAGTAAATCAGACAATCCCCTCCGCTCTCCACGGATTCGGGCGTCCACCTCCCGGATACAACCGGCAGGCGACTTCCACTGCTTTCGCATTCATCAAGGCACTAGCGTTCGGGACACTTAGACTAGAGTTCTCATGCATACAAAAATTCTCAAAGAAATATTACACGAAATAAGGAGTGCGATAAATATGGAATACATCATAAATGTACCCACCTGATAGCAGCACGTTTCACAGTCACAATTCTTGAAATAAGGCAAGATCAACACTTCTAGACACCTACATGATGTCAAGATCCTATAATCAGAATCTATCTCGACTTAAATCAGAAATCACAAGACAGACCTAGTCGAACTCGGTTCGACTAAGTAGTTCGTGAAGTCCTGTGGATGTTGGAACACTAAGACTCGGCTCTAAACTCGACCCAACCACATAAGGGAGTTCATAAAAATCCATCTAAGGTTTGACCAAGTCAAACTTACATAAAAACCAAAAAGCAAGTCGATCCCAATTTCATATACAATTATGCTCGAAAATTGAAATCATTTAATCGCGTGAAAAATAGTTGATCGAGCTACCCCACGAATTAAGCTCTGAAAATTTATACAAAATTTCATCTCCCAGAAACATGTAAAATCACAAAGTTTCAGGTTTAAACTCAACACACCCTATTTTATAAAATTCGAAAAGTAGTTCAGCAAAAAGGGCACATTAATCCATACTCAGACTTAATGAATGAATTTGAACCTGAAAATTTTACATAACAACATTCAGTATACCAAAGTTCACTTATACAAATTTCAGCCTTAAATGATAACTGCTGCTATTTTTAAAAATTCAAACGGGCAACAGCAGTTTATCGAATTTAAATCCAAACTGAAACCAAACGGACTCTAAAAATTTCCATATTTTACAAACATGATCAAACACCTAAAATATGACTCTCAGCAAAATTTCAGAATTTTCCATGCAGTAACCGATTTTTAAAAATTCAAACAACAATTCTGCAGAATCAATAAATACACTCAAACACCTCAATCAACATGATCACACACACATTCACGCGAAAACGCAAGACATATTAACACAAGGCTAATAATGCAAAATAAACGAGAAGTCAAGTATCGATACCGTTCTCGGGAAAACGAGCGAGAAGGGTTCGAATGGGCTCGACGGATTCTCTCGTCTCGCCGAAAAAAGGAAGGCTCGACGTGCACGAGAGGGAGAAGAAGTTGCTGCTGCTGGACGGTCGCCGGTTGTCGCCGCAAGGTCACCGGACGGGGAAGCTGCTCGTCGGAGATCACGTTCGGAAGTGGTCACGGTGTCGGGGCTCGCGGGCTGCTCGAAGGACGAACAGAAATCGCCGGAAAAAACGCAGCAGAGGGTCGCCGGAGGCTGGTCGCGCGAGTTGCTGCAAGGAGGGCTCGTCGGCGGTCGTGGCTGCTCACAGAACCGAACTCGCCGGAAATTGCAGGTCGCCGGAATTGGGACGAGCTGCGGCGGCGCGTGTGTCGCTCGAGATGAGGGCGAGCGTGATGATGATGATGAACCGAGCGTGCTGCGATGGTGATGGAGATGAAGAAAATGAAGATGGAGGATGATGATACTGTTCGACGATGGTGATGAGCAATATTGATGAGGGAGATGATGAAGACGTCAGATGGTGAGGGACGATCGATGATGGAGATGGTCGAGAGAAAAAGAAAAGAAAACTGCTGCGGGATTGATTTTGCCAAAGGAACGAGATGTACACATATATATACATATATATACTTATGTATATTAGGTTTGGGAAAAGAACAAAATTTCTTGTTGCCCAAGACATGAAATCACGTTGAAAATAAAAGAAAAAGGAAAATCTGTCGGGCCGGGCCCGAGAAATTTGGGTCAAAAAGAGTTTTGGGCCGTTTGGGACAACAAGACAGCTCACGGGCTCAAATAAAAATTCAAACAGATATATTCGGGCCCAATTCGATCACAACAAAATTATCGGGCTCGATTCCGAATGCAAACGCGCGATAAAAATAAATCGAAAAATATTAAATATATATATTTTACACATTATCACATACACATTTATTCATACTAATAATTTAATAAATCACAAAATCAATTAAAAAATTAGACAAATTTCACAATTTAGCATTTAATCACATTTGACAAATAAATAAACATAATAGCATTCAATAAAATAAAATATAAATATTATCACCAATTAATAATAATAATAATAGCAATCATAAAAAAAATAATAATAATAAATCCCAAATAATCCACAAATAAACGGGGCATTACAGTCTACCCTCCTTAAACGATTTCCGTCCCCGGAAATCTAAGAAAAATCATCCAACTGGACGACTGACACACGAGAGAAGCTCAAACCACTCAGCTCGGATACTCCATCCAAATCTTCCCACTCTACCAAGTCACACCGAACTAGCCATGGTTACCCCGCCGGACTTTGACGAGTACCTCTTCCGGACTCTCCCTGCTGGATTCGTCAACCCAGTAGGTCACCGGTACCTCATCAAAGGTAAGGTTCTGCCCACATGCAGCTCGTCAAAGATCGTCACGTGCCCAGAGTCACGCACATGTCCCCTCTCCCCGAGGCACTGAACAGGTCGTGCACTCTCGCAAGCTCCGGTGATGAGGTCAACCGTCAGGCTAAGACGTCGACTCGGTCGAGAATCACGAAAGGACCAACATACGTGGCTGATACTTCCTCTCTCTTCCCAGAACTCGAGGCATACAACGCCTCTTTCCGTACTCAGAACCTCGTACGGTACCATCAAGATCGTCACTCATAGCCATTGCTATAAGCGCATTTTCTTATGGTAATAAATTCCACACGACACACCCATCGAGTACACCAGACTCAAACCAGTCTCTCAGGGTCTCGACAGCATGTCCTAAACGCATAACTATCTGGA